TCTAACATGGCATAAAATAATATTATAATCCAACAAGAATAAACATCAGCATAGTAAATCATCTTCAGTCATTAGATCCTTTATCTAAGTGTGAACCAGTGAACCAGAAACCATAGATATACATACATGGAAATGCTGCTTCCAGGCTGATTAGATGTGCTGCTGTCACTTTGCTCAGTGAGTCTGACTGTGAGCGCTGACTTAACTTTGTCACGTTTTTTGATCTTCCAATGAAAGAAAAACCAAGCATTGGGGAAAAAAAGCTCCACTTGTGAGAAGTTGTTTTATGCTTTCTCTTGTTGCATTTGATAAATTAAAATAGATTAATAATGAGAATATTAGAATATCGAGTGAGTATCATCACACTGAAATAAACTGTCACTGCTTAATGTCATGTTAAAAAAACATGAACATTTTATTTCACATATCAAAAAAGATAAATATAACCCTATATAACCCTAATTTAAAATGACATGAGCAAAAACACAACTGCAACAAGCTGAACATAAATCTGCCCGATCAACAAAGAGGCCGCTGCTGCAAAGTCAGCACCTTGAAGCTTGATATGCAGCTGCCCACATGGACAAACCAAACGCCTTCTGGACAAAAGTTTTATAATCAGATGAAACAAAGATTATGCTGTTTCGGCAAAATGACGTGAGGTATGCTTGGAAGGACAATGGTGAGGTTTTCAAACCTAGGAACACTGAACCTGCTGTGAAGCATAGTGGTGGTAGCATCATGCTCTGGGGCTGTTTTGCTGCCAGTGGTGCTGGTACACTACACAGAGTGGTTGGAATAATGAAGAAGGCGGACTAGCTCTAAATTCTTCAACTTTTCGTCAAATCAACGGCTATAAACTTGGACACAACCGTGATGTTCCCAAACTCACATTAAAACTGTCTTTGTAATGGATAAAGTAGGCTAACATTAAGATTCTGGAATGGCCTTCCCAAAGCCCCGACCCCAACCCTGTTGAATATTTGTTGACTTGAAAGTTATACCAACCAATTTAAATAAATTCTACAAATTGTGTCGTGACAAGTGGTCAGATATCAGCCAGAATTATGTTAGAAGCTTGTTGATGGCAACCAAAAACATCCAGTTCAGGTGGAACTTACCAAGTATTAGTAATGATTTATTTATACTTTTGACCCTGTGTGGATTAGATAAAATACAAAATACATTCAAACTCTAGCTCCCAATTCTTGTAATTAAACATGCATGCTTTACAATCACTCCATACTTGAAACACAATAAATCACATGTGTGTAACTCATTTAAATAATCTGTTCCCAGGATTTCATGCTGTGAAATGGAAGCTCCACCAAATACATGTGCAATAAGGCCAATATGCAACTCTTCATTAAATCCCAACCGGAGCTTTGTAACATGAAAAGATGGGTGCAGAGTGTTTGTGAATCCGGCTGTGGACACAGTTATTAATGCAGATGATCTCATTAAATATATATTTAGATTCCCTTTCAGAGCCTGCAGTAGAGCCACAATACAAGACGCATGCAGGCAGTGTCCAGCTCTGAAACCAAACCAATCACTTTCATGTAGTTTGTTTTTTCTAGGACTCAAAGATTAGCTTTGTCTTAGTATAATGTCTAAATCATAAAGTGACAAAATATTGACTTCAATAAATACCCATATCACATGACATACAGAGAAAAAAACAGGATTTATATGAGAGTAAATCCTGTTTTATGTTTTCTTGCACAGTATGTAATGTGAATTTGTTTTCCAATATTGAATAAATAACATGTGTCATATTGATAAAACAACTAAAGAAATAAGAACCATAAAAATGTAGGTTGTTTCCCTGTAATGGACTAAAAACGCTCTTGTTATAGTTTTAGTGGCATTACGAGAAAAATAAAGATCAATGATATATTCAGAGATGTTATTTTGAGAAGCACGTTGACTCAAACCCACCTCAATGTTCTCATCTTTACAGCCCACTGAGCGCTTATTTTTTTCTTAAATCTGTGACTCTGCTGCCCCCTGGTGGTTTTTGTTGTTATGTTACTGCTTATTTTTGTCAGTTATCTTTTCAAACCTGAAATACAACCAATTTTTTTTTTTTGTTAAGTTTTTGTATGGCTTCTGGCAACATGAGCTGTCTGGTTTCAGTTTCTCCTGTTATGCTTAGTATAAGTTCAGATTCATTTAAGAGAGAACAAGGAAGAATGCCATATTTGTACATGTATGTACATAGAGTAAAATATGTGTACATACATATTTTATTGTATATTTCATATACAGGGGCGGTCCTAGCCTGTTTGGTGCCCTGGGTGAGCACTCCCTCTATCGCCCTCTTGCTTATTTCTCCTCTTCTTTTCTGTTTTTTTCAAGGACCTGATGGCTTTGACCTTTTCTTGTCCATCTCTCATCAGTAATTTTGCACTCCAGTATCAACACCCAATCCCACAACATAAACTCAAAGACCTACACCTTGTATAGGGTTTTTTCCCCCCCTGGGAGTTCACATAACCCAGGAAAAATAATTAATTAACAATATTATGAAAGAAATGTGCACTATTTGGAAGAAGGCCCCCCGATAGAATTTAGAAAACACATCAGTGCAAAAAGTCTGTATCAGGATATCTTCAGTTTTCGTGTGTTTTGTAGGGCAGTCAACGCTAACACGTTAACGCTGACATCACGATTAATTCGATTACAATTTTTAATGCAATCAACCCATCTGGAGCACAGAATGAACAAACTCCCCAACAGAAATATTTCAGGGATTTTTACTTTCCAAAATATTGACTTTAAAGCTTGTCGGAAACAGGCTTTTCTTTTGGCCTTGTATTGCATCCCATTCTGCCATCAAAGCCTTTCAGAAAAGAGTCTATTTGTCATGTTTCGGCTAAGCACTCGGAGAACACAGCTGAGGACAATTACACATGACCAAGTGGGGAGGACATGAACAGAAAACGCTGACACCAAGACGCGGACATTAAACGTAACACAGGAAGTACAGAGACAGCCAAGAGAGGCAGAGAGAGAGAACACAAAGGAGCACACGATGGAAAGAGGAAAACATGGAACACAAGGAGTGGGAGCAAAGCACAATAACTCACATCACTATATACACAGTCACACAGAGGGAGACACAGGGCAACAACACAGGGGGGAAATCTAATAATTAATACAGAACAAAATGACCTAGGAAACCTGGAGTAAGCCTCAACATAATGCAAAATATGACAGAAAACACAGGAAACCTAAACCGCGGGGTGAAAATGACCCAGGACCATGGCACTATTTTATTCTGTGGAGGGTAAAATGAGTAAATATTTGCAGTTAAATTCAGTTCAGAGAAACCAGAAACAAAACTGGAAGTTAGAAGAATTCAGAGATTTGTCCATGTTGTGCTGCACCATTGAGTCTCCTCATCAGGAAGGTTTCAGGATATTTGTGACTTAAAAACAGGTAGGGAAGAGGCCTGTGTAATCTATAAAGGGAGATCATTCCACAGTTTTGTGGACATATTTCTCTATTTACCTCAAGAAATAATGTCAGCATGTAGTTTTGTTTTAGTTTTAGTATGTGTGGGACAGTCACCAGAGCAGCAGCAGGTACAGCTTACGGTGAGTTCATGAACTAAAAAAAACTGCAGTATTTTTCTATAATAAATGTTTTTTATGACAAACTAAGAGCTGTGTTTGCAGCTGAGTTTAGAATTTTACATTTAGAGAAATCTATGTAAAAGCATGTGACTTGTAAACACTGAAGTTTCAAGTTTAAAAGGTTTGTTTTTCACTTTGTCATGAAGATGATGATGATGTAAGTACTGTTCATATGTTGTTGTTTAACCTGCTTCACCTCCACATGACAAACTATGACAGTCTGTGTAAACAAATCATTGTAGTGAGCCTCTGCACACACCACTGAACTTCATGGACCCACTCATACTCTGTATTGATGAAACCTTTTGATCTTTATTGGTCCAAAGCCATAAACTGACTCCAGTGTAGAGGAGAAAAGCTCTGCTGCCATGTATAGGCCGTATGCTAAGGAGCTTGGAAAGAAAAGCGTCTGGACTTGTTTAAGTTCATTGAAGACGTTTCACATCTCATCTGAGAAGCTTATTCAGTTCTAAGGGTCAAATGGTTGAGTCCTAAATCTAGGTGTAAACCTAGATTTAAACCTAAACTTCCCTCCAAAGAGGGACAGAGGACCCCCTGATGATCCTCTACCTAATCACATGAGCCGAGGTGTGAAAATGGAACAAAGTTAGACCGGTAAGGCTGCAGTGGTTTGGAAATGTGCAGAGGAGGAATATAAGATATACTGGGAAAAGGGTGTAAAATATGGAGCTGCTAGGCAGGA